GAAAAGAAAGGGGTGACAGGGACTCCCTGAATGGGGAACGTGCCAGAACCCCGACAGTCCAAATGCATCCTCCTTTCTCGGTGCTGGTCTTACTAGTACCAAGGCTGCATGCCCTGGGTGGGTGGCTGCGGTCACTGCCGTAACATCTCCTGGCGCCCCAGCCGGCTCCTGCTCACCCCTGGGTGGGGACAAGTGCTTTGGGGACCCATCGCCCTCCTGGGCACCCACTAGTCTCCCCAGGCTCTGCCACATAACTGTGTCCACCCTGACACCCTCCTCTCCCCATCACTCCCTCAAGCCTCCCTCTGACACCGCTGCCCTTGGGGGACCTTGGGGCCCCCCCCACTCCAGCCCCTTGCAGGACTCCTCGTGGGGACACCACCTCATCTCCGAGACACTCTCAGCATTGCCTCCTACACTGACACCTCCTTCAAACCCTCTGCAACCTGTACCACTTCCTTCGGTGCCCCCGCCCCAACCTCCCACCTTCTCCCATCTGCCCTGGCTGCCACAGCTCCCGCTGGGGTGGAGACGGGGATGGGGTGAGCCTGGGGATGGGGACAGTGACAGGGTACAGGATGGGGCTGTTCCTCTTTGCTTGGGCAAGGCAACGCTCCCCTTGACATGGCAATAAGTAACTTTGGCTCTCTTTTTGGTCACCGGGAGACAATCTGGGGGAATTTCTTTGAAAAGGGGTCAAAAGTTAAAAAAAAAAAAAAAAGCAATGAAGTACTGGGGGATTGGGGTAAAAAATTAACTTTTGCTCCCCAAAATATGGTTTCAGTTGAAACCAGCCAGATCTGGAGGCTGGGAGAGGCTGGGAGAAGGTCCCCTGGCAGCGGCACCTGCTTGGCACAGCCCACCCCTGCCGGGTGCGCCATGACCCCGCGGGCAGCGGCACCAGCCATGCCACCCAGGAAAGCAGAGCTGCGTGGTGCCGGGGTCTGTGACACCTCGGCGCTGGGGACAGGGGGCTAGCAGGGGACCACTGAGCCTGTCCCCATCCCTGCTCCATGGTGCAGGGCTGCGGAAGGAGGGGGTTGTGCTGGGAGCTGGGTCCCTCCCGCTGCCTGCTCTGCATGCTGACCACGCAGTCCTGCCCTAAAAGGTTAGGGTGGTAAAAATAGAGCCGGGCCATGGGATGGCAGGCAGGAGGCACCTGATCCTGCCGGCATGCTGAGAGGCCATGGCAGCTCTGCTGGGGAGCGGGGACGCCAGTTTTTGGGGATCTCAGCCCAAAGGGTTGGGGTGTTCATGGTGGCAGGTCAGTGGGCGGCATTGCCCGGGCTGGTGGGCCCAGGGAGAGGGTGGCCTGGCCGGAGCTGGCTTG